CAAGACCAATGCTGCTCACTCCATGGTTTCCCTGAAAAAATTGTTAATGTGACACACTCTTAGTCATCTGGTGTTGAAAAGAAGGAATCGACAAATAATCACCAAACTTTTATCAGACGGTGATTATAAAGAGTTTCTTCAATTTAAACCAGCTCAACAAGCTTCATCTTCAGCCACTGTAGCCCATACTAGTAATTCTACGGTTTGTCTTTCTCATTCTTCATCTGTTGGACCCTGAATTTTGGATTTTGGTGCTTCTGATCACATAGCTGGTAATCCTTCTCTTTTCTCAAAATTATCATCTCCTAAGACACCGCATCACATCACCCTTGCCGATGGTTCTAAAGCTAAAGCCATTGGCATTGGTGAAGTTGCTCCTCTTCCATCTTTATCTTTGAATTCAGTTTTGTTTATACCCAATTGTCCTTTAATTTAATTTCTATTAATCAACTCACTCGTAATCTTAACTACTCCATAACCTTCACTGCCGACTCTTTTCTTATACAGGACCGGAGTACAGGATGGACGATTGGCGTAGGATCTGAATCACAAGGACTCTATTATCTCTAACATCCATCTTCAACCATATGTGCTATCACCGAATCACCTAATCTTTTCCACCATCGTTTGGGTCATCCAAGTCTCACCAAGTTACAAAAAATGGTTCCTCATCTTTCTCGTTTACAGTCCTTAAAATGTGAGTCATGTCAACTTGGAAAGCATGTTCGAGCATCCTTCCAAAGTAAGGTCAATAATCAAGCAGAGTTCCCTTTTTCTATTATCCATTCTGATGTCTGGGGTCCTAGTCGTGTCAGTTCCATATTAGGGTATAGATACTTTGTTACTTTTATTTATGATTTTCGAGGTGTACTTGGATATTTTTAATGAAAGAGCGATCAAAGTTGTTTACCATTTTTCAAAATTTTTGCCATGAAATACAAACTCAATTTGGACACTTCATTCGTGTTTTACGCAGTGATAATGCGAAAGAATATTTTTCTGCATCCTTTAATTCTTTTATGACATCTCATGGCATGATTCATCAATCTACTTATCTCATACACCTCAACAAAATGGTGTAGCTGAAAGAAAACATTGTCATATCATTGAAACAGCTCGCACCCTTTTGATACATGCTAATGCGCCTTTAAAATTTTGAGGTGATACTGTTCTTACTGCTGGTTATTTAATAAATCGAATGCCATCTTCTAGTTTAAATAATCAAATCCCTCATTCTCTCCTATTTCCTAAAGAGCCTCTTTATACTGTTCCTCCTCATGTTTTTGGCTCTACTTGCTTTATACATGATTTTTCTCCAGGTCTTGATAAATTGTCTACTCGTGCTATTAAATGTGTGTTCCTTGGCTATTCTCGACTCCAGAAAGAATATCAATGCTATTCTCCTTCCACACATCGTTTTTACATCTCTACAGATGTCACATTCTTTGAAGACACACCATACTTCACTTCACCAGTTGCGTCAGATCTCATCTCTCAAGTTTTACCAACCCCTTACCTTAATCCATCTCCTGCTATTATTCTAGTTTCTGAGGCACCAGTATCTTCTTCCCAGCCAGAGCATCCCCCTCAGCATCATTTTATCACCTATCAGCGTCGACCACGACCTGATCTTCCAAAGGATGTACTCATTCCAGATTTTGACAAATCATGTGATTCATCTCGTACTCCAACGTCTCCACCTACTCATGGTTCACCTGAATCTTCCGCCGACCTGCCCATTACTCTTCGTAAAGGCACACGTGGTACCCGTAATCCTCATCCCATTTATAATTTTCTGAGTTATTATCGCTTGTCTTCATCCCACTATGCCTTTGTTTCTGCTCCATCTTCTATTTCTGTTCCTAAAACTGTCCAAAAAGCACTCTCACATCCAGGGTGGCGACAGGCTATGATTGATGAGATGGCAGCCTTGGATTCCAATCATACATGGACTCTAGTTTCTCTTGCTCTTGAAAAATCTACAGTTGGTTGTCGATGGTCTTTACTGTCAAGGTAGGTCCTGATGGACAAGTGGACCGCTTGAAAGCCCGCCTTGTAGCTAAAAGCCACACTCAGATTTTCGGTCTTGATTATAGTGATACATTTTCTCCAATTGCTAAAATGACATTTGTTCGTCTTTCCTTGTCCATGGCTGCAATTAAGCAATGGCCCTTACATCAGTTGGATATTAAGAATGCCTTCCTTCATGGTCACCTGGAAAAAGAGGTTTATATGGAACAACCACCTAGGTTTATTGTTCAGGGGGAGTCCGTCTTGTATGCAAATTGCATAAGTCCCTTTATGGCCTTAAACAATCTCCTCGGGCATGGTTTGGAAGATTTAGCCAGTTCATCCAGCAATTTGGCATGATCCGTAGTGAGGCAAATCATTCTGTATTTTACAAATTTTCAGCCTCTAATCAGTGCATCTATCTCGTGGTCTATGTAAATGATATTGTTATTACAGGTGATGACCAAGAAGGCATTAAAAATCTCAAACAACACTTGTTTCTACATTTCCAAACTAAGAATATGAACAAATTACGATATTTTCTTGGATCAAAGTAGCTCAATCAAAAATAGGTGTTTCTATCTCTCAAGGAAAGTATGCCCTCGACATTTTAGAAGAAACTGGGATGCTTAATTGTAAACCAATTGATACTCCTATGGATCCGAATGTTAAACTGCTACCAGATCAAGGAGAGCTTTATTCAGACCTCGGAAGATATCGAAGATTGGTGGGAAAGTTAAATTATCCCATTATAACAAGGCCAGACATATCCTTTGCCGGTAGTGTTGTAAGTCAATTTCTTAACTCTCCTTACAATAGTCATTGGGATGCAGTAGTCCAAATTTTGAGATATATAAAAAGTTCTCCTAGAAAGGGGTTGATTTATGAAAATAAGGGGCATACAGACATTCTGGCTTATACAAATGCAGATTGGGCAAGATCTCCTAGTGATAGAAGATCAACTTCTGGATATTGTGTTTTTGTTGGAGGCAATCTCATCTCATAGAAAAGTAAAAAGCAAAATGTTATTGTAAGGTCTAGTGTTGAAGCAGAATATCATGCTATGGCTGTTACTACTTGTGAACTTATATGGTTAAAACAGCTGCTTCAAGAGTTGAAATTTTGTGAGATCAGATCTATGAAACTCATATGTGATAATCAAGCAACGTTACACATCGCCTCCAATCCAGTCTTTCATGAGCGGACCAAACATATAGAAATTAATTGTCATTTTATCCGTGAAAAGATTATTTCCGGAGAAATCATCACTTCATATGTGAATTCCAATGATCAGTTAGCCAATATCTTCACTAAATCTCTCCAGGCTCCAAGAATGATATATATAATGTAACAAGCTGAATACATATGACATATATGCAACAGCTTGAGCGGAGTGTTGAGATTTTGTAAATATATGTTTTCTACATATAGGGATTGTGTAATATTAGGAGATCATATAGGGTTTTAGGAGATTTGGTTAGAAGATTTGATTTCTTTCTTTTTATAGATGTAAGAATTGTGTATATATTTGCCTATTGAGGATTGAATCGACACAGTGAATAAAAATACAATCAGTAAAAATAAAAGAAAATAAAATTTAGAAATTTAGGGTTCCAAAAATTGGCTTTGATACTATTTTAAAAAAGAATCATAGAAAATTCTAATTCTAATATGTGTAAATGAGTAAGTGATTATATACTATCCCTTGAATATGTATTTATAATACTGAAAGATATACAATAAAGAAAGAAAATAAATGAAATAAATGAGAATATTTCTATACGATATATTCTTATTGCATATTCCTAATCTACCCATATACAAATTTCTACACATCTTTTGGAGGCAACTGCTTGGAAGCTACCCGCAATTTGTGGTTATAAGTTGTGTCACATCCTCTGTGGTTCAACAGCAAATACATCTTTGTAAAGTAACCTCCCTATGTATAATACAAGTAAGATTGCAAAGTCTACTTTGGAGTGGTGGTTTCCGGTAGAAAGCTAAACACTTTCCCTACTTATGATGTGTGATGCATCTCTTCTAACAAGTTATTGCTTAGATTGTTTTCCCTTCTTATTCTTCTTTTCCTTTTCTTCATTATTCTCTACCTTTCCCTGCTGCTCACTGTAACAAAAGGTATTAGCCAGCTGTTTTCTCATTAACTAACTTCTTAAGAACTTGCACCTTAAGGTCCTCAAATCCAAGACTTGCATTTTCAAGAACGGGAGATCAGCCTAAGCATCCAGGGCAAGAGGTATTCTTTCACCTTCCAGGCAAGCTGCGATCACACTAGAGGTTCCCAAAAACATTGGATTCTATATCCAAACTTGAACTATCTTGGATGACTTGTTTTATATACATTTCTTGGTCTATAAATTGCTGATATACATACAGAATAGTGTTTGTTGTGAACTAACTACACATCATATTTATTTTATGTCCTAATATATTGTATGGATTCCAATCATACGCATAATAGATGCATAAGCCACCATTTGAATAATATGGGAGATCACACGTCTTTATAGATTCATGTCAGGCACCAAGTTGAAACTTGACAGTGTCTTAAGTATCAAGATAGGATCTTGAAGATATGAATCACTATTCAGTTTTGACAGGTATCCAACATGTCTTCAGGAGGATTCAAGAGGTGACATTATCTGGCACATCTTATTCTTTAGGAAATTCTTACACCCCTCTCCTAGTTCTTTGCCTTCCATCAAAAGAACTGGATTTCAGCAATTTTTGATGGTTGTGCTATCTTTGCAAATTCATTTTTTTGGATCCTGATCTTTGGGTTATGTTTACGTTATCCAATGAGCTCAGAGATGAAATTAAATCTGTAGGTGCATCACTGACAAAGGCTATTTTTATAGGCCTACTTGGTATTAAATAATGAAACTTTTGGGTTTAAATATCCACAAGCAAAGGAGCATGTAAAATGCACAAACATGTGCAGTTATCAGCAATAAGAATCTTAAAATACATGTTTAAGCATAGCCCTAGTTAAGAAAAAAAAGAGTGACTAAAAATCCTCAATGCATATGGAAAGAAAATTCTTCCTACATTTTCCTATATAAGGTGAAAGACTGTTACTAATGTCCTGCTGTCCAGACATTGTTCAGATTACATCTTTCCAGAAAAACTCGAGAACTTGAAAAATCTTGGTTCTACCAAGATATCAACTTTCCATTCACCAATTAACTAACTAGATTTTGCACAACTACGTGCAAATAAAAGAACACCTTCTCCACCTCAACTCCCTATTGTCTAAATTAATCAGTCGCAAGACATAATGACCACATTAGCAGATCATCATGTATTAGACAGGATTTATAAATGAACCCAGATATAATAAATCAAGTTAATGAGCTTGTGCCTTTCTAATAACATACCAGATAGTAGATCAGCCATCCAGCTTATGAGGTAAAAGATATAGGAGTGTGATTAAAATAGGTGACTCAAGTACCTGGAAAGCAGACACTTGAATGTACAATACAGCTGGAGTTATTTGTCTATTGTCTAAAAATGTTGATGATGAATCCCAAAGATTTACATCTGAAGGAGGTGAATGGGTTGCTCGAGGCCTTATTGCACTGAAACCATCAAGACGGAATCCTGCTAGCAAAGGTGAAGCTGGTGATAGATATTGTTCCAAAACAAGATCATTGTCTGTTAATCTTTCAGCCTCTACTGGAACCTGAAAAGTTCACTGAAAGTATTATGCAAAGTACAGAATCTAAATAAGGAATCTAACATAAGTGGAAAAAAGCACTAGTTGCACCTTGAATCTATTCAATTGTGGAACTCTTTCCAACCAGCTCCTTGAATTTATCTGGTCAGAACCTTGTGATGATGCAAGATCCATATCTTTTCTCACAGGGCTTCCACGACTAGAATTCTTTTGGCATGAAGACATGGATCACTCTCCACAGGCCCTCCAAATGAGCACGTCTATCTAGTTGCGAAAGGGGTTTTCATCAAGAGTCAAAAGATTGAAGTTCTCAAAATTAAAAGAACTTGAAACAAGCTTCTGAAGACTTAGCATTATCCAAATGATGCGACACCGAACAGGATTCCGAAAGGCAAATTTTATATGTCTAGGAACTGCCTTCTCACTCAAATTTTCTGGTCCAGATAGTTCTGAGGAAGATGTGATCATAGAGCGCATATCCCATTTTCCCATGCATGATCTTTCTTCTTTGTGTATTTTATTACTGGCCCAAATTTTGCACCTTCATTCACAATAGTGAACTTGTCAACTAAAGAACTGAAATAGAATTTACTGCAAAAATTAACATATTCAATCAATATCGTTTTCAAAACAAGGAAACACCCCACTTTAGAAAAACATTTTTAATGGAGCAGCCCAAGTTTTCCATTAACTTCAAATAAAGAGAACAACATTAATATGGGGAGCGGAAACAAATGATGATGATGATGAAGTCAAACAGGCTTAAGGGCTTAAATTACAATTTAATAGAATGATCATCTACATCCATGTTTCTCAGAAAATTAAATGGGATACTGCTCTGAAAGAACCCCACAGCTAATTACGCAATAAAATAAAGACAGTTTTCAAGACACCAAAAGGGGAAAAAATCTTGGAAACTGTTTGTAACTTGGAATATCAGGACTTGTAAGAACGTTAGATATTGGTCTATAAGATTGAGTAACACCCTGTTGAAATTAAACCATGATAGAATGAATTTAGCATACTGCAGATATTGGCATGAAGTTCAATAATCCATCCCAGGGTTAATGGAGGATACAAGATCCGGCATCTGATGATTACAAAGAAAACAGCAGGCAACTGTCTCCCCATCTCTCTCCTAAACCACGAAAAAGACTGCTGCAGGAACATACTAAACGTTTATAAAGAAAATAATAAAGAAGAAAATAAAAAATATTTAGTGTACAACACTACTTGAAACATAGCATTTATAAAACAAAATAACAAATCCTAAAATTAATCTTAAAAAAAAAAACTTATCAAACTTCTGTAGTTTGCATAACATAATACATAATAGCAGTTTCAGAGTTCTTATATAAGCATTGATATCAAAACTCTTCATTTGTTTTAACACAAGGAGCGGGATAAGTCTCAGTCCACTCACTGTGGGAGCATCAGCCATTGAATATCCACAAGGACTAACAAGTAGGATAACACCTGACACGTCAGAAAGGTCACCAAGAACAATAACAAATTCAACATGCGAGGCACCAGGAGGAGCTCTCCAATATGAAGGCTTTAATCCAGGATCAAGTGGTGTCAGCAATGACAAATAAGGTGCTGAAACTGCTGCTGTCTCAACCTACATTAACAAAAAACCAAGTCAAATACTAGTAAAAACATAAAAGTGTATGAATACTGAAAAGAAAGCTTTAAAGTCAGTAAAATGGCACAGAGATTGCTTATTAAACTTTACGATTTCCAGGCGCAACATCTCAAAGTTTTCTAGAATTCAGTATTATGAAAATGTTAAAGCTTGTTTTATGAGGATTACTGGCATTAGCAAGTAAGGACTGACATGATAAAAATACAAAGATTGGTTGATTCTGTTTTTGTACATCGTTATGGCACAGAATCAAATTCTCTTGGAACCATACCAATGAAAATTCAACTTTGGTGCCCACATAGTGTGCTCTGTTATTAGAAGCAGCCTACCTGGGCTGTCAAAGCAATTTTGAGGTATAGTATTCAAGCAACTTCACCTTCAGAAGTGTCAAGGTGCAAAAAATCGTAGAATACCAATATCCATTCTGACTTCCCCCAACTGCAGAATTTAATGGAATGGGTAGGGACACAAGACACTGTTTTGACGCTATCAACATAATGCCAATGGCAAATTTGACAAAATAAAGATCTGGAATGACAAAATTCAAAGACACAATATGAAGCAAATATATGCTATTACATAACTCCACATAAAAAGCAGACTCCACTTGGTTTATGAAAAGCAGCATGAAAATTTAAATAAGCAAAGGCTTATTTGAAACCAAATATCCATTAATATTCAATTAAAAGTTCTTAAAATACCTTGCGTAGTCATGATTTCAATGAGGAGTACCATTTTTTCATTTTATTGTTATATATACAGGCACACCTAAATAGTGAGAATATACATAGTCACAATATATTTGGAACTGACATGTGATTAAACAAAAACCTATTATCCATTATGCACTATTCATTAACAGGTTGGAGTAGACAGGTCCTAAAACGCAGTGAATAAAGGAACTGCGACAAATAGTTATTGCATGCACATCATTTTGATTTTTAAGTATTGGCTCTCAAGTTACATCATTCAACTTGATAGGTCATGTGCTTGCAAGTGCCAGAATATCGCACCCTGCTGCCCAAGGATGTCTATTTCTATTAAAAGACTAAATTCTGTTTGGAGAAGTGCCTGGGAGGTGCCAAAAAGTATATGAAGAGTGTTAAACTTCAATACTGTCACATTGATCATACCTATTCAGGAACATTTTTACATTTTAAATGCATTATTTTGTGACTCATTACACATTCATAAATTTCTAAACCAACTAGTCTCCTCCAACTCCGAACACCCCATAATATTGTAGTTCACTGTTAGGTAAAATAAAAACATTGGATACCTAGACAATGATGTACACAACATTAGTAATGGGAAAAAATAAAAGCTGTTAACCAAAAGAACAAAACTAGCAACATCAACAAAGGCAACAACAGTAACAAGAAGACAATGAAACACAGTTTTAGGTCTATGTTCAGGGTAAAGATGAGTCTGAACGAAGTAAATAAAACTGTACTCATGTTTTGCGAATGCCCAGATGCAAAAAATAATGGTTAAACTGATTACTAAGATAACTTGCTCTCTTTATTAAATATTCTCTTATCCCAAAGGCAAGTAGGGATACTCACTAAATGGAGTTAGCTTACATTTCTTATTTTCATTAAAGATAATTATCTGTCAATGCCTACTAAATTAATGTATGAAACAAACCCAAATAATCCATGCAGTCTTATCAATCAAGTAAATTTCTAAAATATGAGAAATAAATAAGCTATTTTAAAAATCCTAGAGAACACAAATAGTAGATAGCAGATATAAGGTCCACCTTGGAAAGCTTAAAAGAGTCTTTATATCCTGATGCTTTTAGATGAGAATCAAATCAAATGGGATGAATAAGGAATTTTTCTATTTAATTTGGTTCCCTCCAAAAAGCAAAAAGCAATAAACCAACAAGTCACTCATAGAAGGGTCCATAATCTCCACATTGTAGAGAGACAGATAAAAGATAGAAGCAGTAGACCAATTCTAACTGTTTAGAAAGATCAAACATAGTTCTCTAAATTGATGAACACTTGGCAAAAAGGAATAGCAAAAAACTACAGTACCTCAGTGAGAAAAAAACATGATAAAGATCTGTCTTGAGTGGTACTAGAAAGTGGAAGGCAGGAACAAAACACAGGAATATCAGAGGACTCTTAAGACATGCCATGTTCAAAGTAAATTACATGGCTAGAAAACACCACCACCATACATGTGTACAAAAATAATTGTCAAGAATAAAGGCAGGTTTGAGAACATACTGAATGTAGAAAACTAGCAAAGGGAAATTCAGCAAGAGATTCTTCCCCATTAAGTAACTGTCTCAAGGCTCGAGCACTTTCCTGCCTATCCAAACTCTGATTTCTTTTAAGAAAGTCCCTTGAAGGAAATCCAATTACATGGCCCACTGCTCGATGTACAGCAATCTCTGCACGAGCACTTCTCCGAATGCTTACCAAAACCCTGACATAGTCCAATGTCAGTGCATCAAGCACAATAGGATGACAGCACAGTTTACAGATAAAACCATCCAGTGTCGTTGAACGATTCAGAGATGCATCAACTGAGCTACCATGAACTGATCCTCCCTGGTTTGACCCCCCACTGTAGCTGGAGGCCATATTTGAGGTATAACCTTCCAGCAGAAGAGCTCCTCTTCCAGCACAACAAATTTTGCAGACCTTTCTCTCACATTGATAACACAAGAAGGAAGATTGTGAAGACACCGAAGAAGCCAAAGACGGAGATGCATTTGCAGCTATTCCAGCTTCAGCATGAACCTGACATAAGTTACTTGAACAGCTTTCCCCATCCTAGCAATGTTCCAGAAGTCTATAACACTACCATCAATTGGCTCCAGCCCAATAGAAGCAGTAGTACTGTCTTCAGTTGAAGCCTGCCCAAGCATAGCCAGTGTGTTTGCTACCCTGCATAATCTTCCCATGTAAGCCTCGTCTTCAAGCAATAAATTTGGATTTATGGTAGCAGGATCTACACCAATTGATAATAGAGCTCTGTCCCTATCAGCAGCTGAAAGATTTAGGTGAAGCCTTTCAATTTCCAGTTTCATGGCTTCCATAAATCCTAGTTTATTCCCCTGTAAAATAGAATGTAAGATCTTTTTTCCGGATCTTGCAATGTCAAGATGTGAAGAGCTCCGCCCTACAATTAATGCAGGCAAATTCCAAGATGACTATGCCCTTAGATTCCCTATAGCCTAAAATTCTTAGATCACAAAAATACTCCTATAAAACTTGTAATAAACTGACCAGATACGTATACTAACTTCCATAAGAATCAAGAAGACTCAAAGACTATTAAACACTTAACTCCAGGTGGCTCCAATAATTACCGATTTATTTGCTCAAAAACCAAATCATGCCCAAACTTAATCCTAGAACAAGACCTTAAACCACACTGCCTGTAACAAGAGCTCTAATATCAGAAGCCATTATTTTTTGGAAAATGGGCCCAATACAGAGCGAGTTAACATAACGTATATCCACATTGTTCTAATTTTGTTAGAATTCCCAACTCCCAGGCTATTTTGTTTCAGGCTTGCACTATGTTTTGAGTGCCTCAATTATGAGGGCCGTCCTTTTGTCCAGTGTTTAAAGAGTCAGAGCACAACTGCTAAACAAGCAGGACACATTCAATACATGCCAAAGAGGTGTCAGTATGTTAGTGATCAACCTTGGTGTCTCAACATATTACAATGTAAATATTACATGCATGCATAACCTCAAGGCCATAGAACTTTCATAGTAAAGGTGACTTGCAGATGCAGAATGACATGTTGCAAAAGTTCCTTGTTACTATGTCAAAAATAGGCTAGTCCATTCATATTGACACACACATAGGAGAGTCAGATTTTATGTCAAACAAAACTAGTGGTCAAGAAACTTCTAGAATCTAGGCTATTTGACTGAGATAATACAATTTCTTTTCTGCTTAGTCTGCTCAACCCTTTGGTCTTTGTAAAATACCAAAAAACTCAATAACCTGAAAATTCCTGTCTATTCTATAAAAACTAAACCTAATTTTTTAATGAGAAAGTTCAAGTTGAGAATTTTTCTAAATCAAAAATGGTGCTACTAAGTCCAGATTTTACTTTTCTTTTGTCATTTCTAGGACTCTCTATATGCACAGCTTTAATAAACCCAGCAGGAATTGCACAAGGAAAGGAGCCAAACATTTGGTCCTGTCACTATTTCAAGGTGGAAAGGATGCATTTCTCTATCTATTGTCATATAAAACTTATATAAAACTGCTTGAGTGCAGAATGGTGCTGTTTTAAAGTAATACTAGTAGGAAGTTCCAGAAATACAAAGTTTTGAGTTGTGGAATACAAGAAATGTAATAGCAAGGACGACACAGGCTCTTCTTTGGTTAAAAAGCAGGAAAAGAGGAAATGGGAATATCTAACTAAAATTTAAGATACAAAAGAGGTAACTAAATTTACTTATTTAGTTGAGTATTCTCATTCTATCATCCCACTAACTTGAACTGAAAGTACCAGGATCCCAAGGCATCAGTAGATGAGGCATAAATAGAACATTAGGTAGATCTTAATTGTCAAAGGGTTATTTAAAGCTTGTATTATGAAAATGCAATCAAGCAATATATAATCAATTCAAACAAACTTAACAAAATGTTAATATACCATATGTGGGCCTGCAAGCAACTTGTAACAATTTATGTACTGCTGAGTGCCACCAACCAAAGGACTTTTGTCATCGGCTGAAGTGACTTTAGAAATAGCTTCACCATTTGGCTGCTCAATCACAGCTTGGCCAAGAAGTGAAGAAAGTCATTTCCCTCATTGACAGAATCAACCATCACTGGTTGAGAAATAGATTCTGATGGTAGATGGTCTCCAGTCAAAAGGTCTACCCATAGATTTGCAGATGCATCCTGTTGTGCAGGTACTACCACTTTTTCCTTGCCCAAATCAGCATCACTAAATGGATTCATGTCCAAACTGGACAAAAATGGGTTGGGTTCTCTGTGATCCAAAAGTTCATAAAACCGTGCACCTGGACCTTCATGAGCAAATATATCTTTCCAAGGAAGGGTAACTCCCAGAACCTCTATCTGAAAAAGAATTCACCACAGGTTACTGTCTAGCAATTAGACCAGATAACATAGATGTGCGCATAAACACCAGTTTTTAAGAAACAGACGAATGAATAAATAAATAGATATATGGTAAAAAGTTCCCTAGCAGGATTAGCTCAAATCAACTGCCATTAACAAAAAAATGCACCTTTCAACTCTAATGAAGAAAAATCTTCTTTTATTATCACCAGCAACAACATTAATCCATGACTGCATGGGGTTATGATACAACTAAATCTGAATTAAAGGAAAGATTGGAAATTACTTTGATTAATCCACACAAGATTTCCCAAACACTGAAGAAATGAATCAGTTTTGAAACAGAAATCTTGCAAAACTCCCACACAACAAAACCCTAATAAATAGCTTTATGTAGATTGAGAGAATTTTGAGAAGAAGAATGATTCTTTATTCAACAACAATGAACAAATCAGATGAGCTTGCAGCAAATATAAAAGAGAGTCTCCTAACAGAATCAGCAACTAATTATAACAGACACTAACTACCAACAAAATCAGTAACTAATCAAAACAGACCCTAACTACTAACTAACAAAAATAGACTCTAACAGAATCAGCAACCAATCATAACAGACACTAACTACAACTAATAACAGGATCGCTAACTAACATAACAGTTTTCTTCAAATTGGTATATAACAAATTTTCCTCCTTTGAAAATCCTTGACCTCAAGGATCAAAGAAGGAAACTACCGTTGCAGAATGCTCCAATCCATCCAAGTACTATCCTCGGCTGAATTGAACCATTTTACCAAAACTTGTGAAACAAGACGGTTACAACAAGGAATAACTCGTCTATCTAAAATATTTTAGGTTCCAACAAGATGTGTCCATATGAAGACAAGTAATGGAAGATGGAACACTGAAGGAGCATCTCCAATATGGTTCTTGAGCTGACAAATATGAAATGTATGATGGATGTGGACAACCCAATTGATAAGCAATTTTACCAATTCTGTGAAGGACTTGGAAAGGGCCAAAGTATCTTGGAGTGAGTTTGTGATAGGCATGAGTTCTTACCGTGGCTTGTCTGTAAGGTTGCAGTTTAACATACACCCAGTCACCCACATTCAATTCTTTGTCAGTTCTATGTTTATCAGCCTGCTGCTTCATTTGAGATTAAGCCAAATGAAGGTGATGTTTAAGCAACCTGATAGTCTCTTCTCTTGCTTGCAAACTTCTATCAACAACATCTACCATAGAATGATGAGGCAGATAGGGCAGACTTATAGGTGGCCTTTGTCCATACCAGTAGTTACCTGGATTGTGTACAAAATGGCATGCGAGATGGATATGGGAACGGGTACATGGTTCGTCACTTACTTTTATACGGGTGACGGGGAGTTGGCTTATTTGGAATGCTATTTCGGGACATGGTATGGTTAAGAGTTCTAGTGTGGGTCATTCATATATATGTTGTTTGTATATATAACTATGGACATGTTTTTAATTTCTAATCACCAAACCAAAGAATAAGATATCGATAATAAAAAGAAAGAATTCTCATCAAACCATAAATTAATCAAGATGAATCACTATTGACATTATTTGTATCAATTGGTTCTTTGAGACAAGTTTCCTCCTCTAGTCTTCTCCTTTTCCTGAATACCGTTGTACAAGGGGTATGGCTGAAATTGTTTGAGGGCTGGGGTGTTTCAGATTTGTTCTTTGTGGAGGTTTATACTTTGTTTATAGATTAACAAAATTTACGTATGGCAGAGTATTTTGTTTAAATATAATTCTTAATAAATGAAAATCTCTTCACAAATTAATGTAACTTGTGACCTTTGGTAGCCCCTAAAAAAGGTACCCATTGGAAGGTTTAAATTGTAGTGTTCGTTTAGGAAAAAGAATTGTTAGTAAACGCATTATATTCCCTCAAAAAAACTGTAGGAAGGTTTAATTTTTAGCATTGGTTTTGGAATTCCTAATGAATGCAATACGTTCCCAAAAAAAACTGCTCGAATTGGAAGGTTTAATTTTCAGCCTTTGTTTTGGAAAAGGAATTCCTAATAAATGCATTTTATTCCCTGAAAAAAACTGTTGGAAGATTTAATTTTCAGTCTTTATTTTGGAAAATGAATTCTTAATAAATGCATTCCTTAATAAGCCCTAGACTCTAAGCTAATTAGATTCTATTCAAAAAGAAAGAATTGCTGTCAATCATAAGAAGGAAAGTTAATTAATGCTAGAAAATCAATCATTAATGCTGTCTACTTATTTATACTGACACATTGAGTCAAATAATTCAAAAATGGATAAAGTGAATTTGGGACACTAGCAATCTGGGTCGAGAATGCACCACAAATTGGGTCGCTTGACCCAGATCGAAAGTCGCTAGGGGGTAGGGCAAACCAGGTAACTATGGTCCATACAATACCTCATAAGGAGTGAGTCTAATGGCTGAGTGAAAAATGGTGTTGTACCACCATTCAGCTAAAGTCTATCCCCACACATAAACCTCAAATACCCCTCCAAACAACTATTCACCACCTCTGTTTGCCCATCTGTTTTGCGCGTGATAGGTAGTAGAGTGGTTCAACTGGACACCCTGAAATTGCAAACAACTCTTGCCAAAACTTGCTCATAAATAGGGGTGGAAATAGGACAGGCCGAGCCAAGCCGAGACTTAAAAAGGCCAAGCATGCCACCTGCTATAAAAAATTACTAGCTTAAGCCTAGCTCGTGACCTATAACAAGCCAAAAAATTAGCCTCGGCCTGACTTATTTGTAAAATTGGTAAGGTCTGACTTGGCATGTTAGCCTATTAGGTTGGACCCGTTAAAATTATAAAAATATATATTATATATTATAAATTATATAATATAAAATATATTTAAAATATATATATAATTTATATATAATTAATTATATAGGCAAGCTTGTCAGGCTCATAAGCCAGGCCAAACATAATTAGACCAAGCCTTTTTGAATAAAAAGGTCTATTTCTTGACCTACACTTGACCTAATTAGATTAATGAGCCAAGCCATATCAGGTCAAAATAGGCCAGGCCATGAGCGGCTCATAAATGATACTTATTTCCACCCCTAGTCATGAATAAGGGATCTCTATCACTTACCAAAGTTGGGGAACACCATGAAGCTTGTATACATTATCCAAAAAGGCTTGTGCTACAGACATAGCAGAATATGGGTGAAAGAGAGCAACGAAATGACCAAACTTACTTAATCTATCCACTAACACTAAAATAAACCCATGCTAATTTCCTGCCACATCGTAGGAATCGGTTGTGGTTGTAACAACCCTGAAGGTGGTGCATTATCCCCTTTATTCTTCTGACATACTACACAATTTCTTGCAAAATTGTTCACCTCTTGTTGCATGCCCTTCCAATAACAGAAATGTCTCAATCATTGTGCAGTAGGGGTGTTCAACAAACCAAAACCAAACCGATTAGACCATATAAACCGAACCAAACCGTATGAAACCGAACCAAAGAGTGTGGTTTGGTTTGAATTTGATGTTTAGACAAACCGTATAAACCGAACCAAACCGTATAGTTTATATATATACAAAATTAAAAATCCTATCTTTATATATATAGTATATTTTTATTGTTTGACTGTATATTTCTTTTTTTTGTTATCTTTTATATTTATATTCATTCTAATAATTGATTATTTTTCTTTTTTTAAGTGTAATTTCTATTAGTCATAGTGAAATTCTGTAAAATGATATAAATATATTTATTATAAAATGTATAACTACTATAGTTAATTAATAAATAATGAAATTATTCAGTTAAACATGTTGGGGAAAAAATGGATGACCAATTTTTAGGAAAACTCTATTAAAGTTTTTATAAAAATAGTGAATTTAATTCATTTTATTTTGTAAATCACAAACCGTGGTTTGAAACCGAACCAAACCGTAAACCATGGTTCGGTTTGGTTTATAAAAATTTCAAACCGTAAAGTATGATTTGGTTTGAATTTGAGCATCAAACCGAACCATAAACACCCCTATTGTGCAGTAGCAGTGATTCCTGAATGTCCCCCCCAATGCACTGGCATGATAGAACTCCAACAACTGCTGCCTTAGAAAAGAATCCCCAAATAATACCATTCTGCCATTGATAATGTAGTTTACTGCCAGGAGTAACTTGCAGTTTCTTAATGAGGTTCTCTGTCTTGGAATCTGATTCATAAGAATTTTTGAATATAAGTAAAGAATGATTTAAAGAAGATATAGCACACAATTCGCCACTTGCTGAAACTGGCAGCCTAGACAAAGCATCTGCCATGATGTTGTCTTTCCCCTTCTAATACAAAATTATGTAATCATATCCCATTAACTTTGCTAACCACTTCTGTTGACTTGGTGTACTGATTCTCTGTTCCGTCAGAAATTTGAGGCCTTGATGATCAGTTTTAATTGTAAAGTGCTTCCATATAAGATAAGGTCTCCATTTCTGTACTGCCATCACAATTGCCATAATTTCCTTCTCATAAACTGAAAGCCCCAAGCGTCTAGCAGACAAAGCTTTACTCATATAAGCTAGAGGATGTCCCTGCTGCATTAACACTGCCGTAACTCCATGTCCACTAGCATCAGCTTCTAGCACAAACTCTTTGGAGAAATTTGGCAAGGCTAATACTGGAGCAGTGATTATAGTCTCTCTTAAGGGGGCATTCACTTTGAAAGATAAGATAAAAGCTGACAGGACAGGTAGGATAAAATTTATCTTACCCCTACAATAACAGTGTTTTTATCACACATTCGGTTGCCCTGATAACAATCTGGATAACAAACCAGATAATACACTAAATTACCAAATTACCCCTGCTCACAGCTTCACCTTCCCTCTCCTCTCTGACGACTAGCCTTCGGCCTTCCCTTTCCTCTCCGGCGACTAGCCTTGCCTCTTCTCTCTGGCGTGAGCAGGCGCCAGCATGAGCGGGCACCTGCAGATCTGCCGCCCGGAGCAGGCGCCTGCGGATCCTCAAGCACCAGAGTGAGAAAGGCTGATGGTGGTAAGGGGAGGAGAGGTCCACGATGGTAAGGGGAGAGGCCAGCAGTGGTGAGGGGAGGAGAGGTTCTTAGGGGCAAAATTGTCCCAAAAAAATTTTACATGCGTGAGAAAGTTTCTCATGTTGGCACCCCTAGGACAAATGTTACATGCATGCACTGATAAGCCTACTGCCCAGATTTTTATCTCATCCCGTTACACATGTACAGAACGCGTGATAAGTGGGGATAAGGCTAATAACTTTATATCCTTATCAGCCTTGTCCCCCCAACCAAATGGGACCTAAGTGTAGAAAAGATTCCTCGGCTTTAGGGTGCCAATGAAATTTTTTTTTTTTTTTTTAACAAATCAGTCAAAGGTTTTGCAATGACCTCGCATACCCTTGCACAAACCTTCTATAAAAGCCTGTAAGCCCAAAGAACCCTCACAACTCCTTCATGGTCTTAGGTATAGGCCAATTTTTTACACCCTCAATTTTCTTTGGATCTGCTGATACATGAACTGCAGCTATTATGTGTCCCAGATACCCCACCTCTTCTTGAGCAAAAAAGCACTTATTTAGTTACACAAACAATTGATTCTGCCATAATATACTCAAACCTTTTGTTAGATGAGTAACATGCAAATCCAGCATAGGGCTATAAACAAGAATGTCATTAAAAAATACCAGAACAAATTTCCCCAAAACTGGTTGAAAAATATAATTCATAAGGCTCTGAAATGTAGATAGGGCATTAGCGAGCCCAAAAGGCATTACCACAAACTCATAATATCCATGATGTGATCTAAAAGCTGTCTTCTCAATATTTCCTTCCTCCATTCTAATGTGATGGTACCCTGACCGCAAATCAAGCTAGGTAAGCAACTTTGCCTCTCCCAATTTATCAAGCAGCTCCTCAATAACTGGTATCGGAAATTTATCTTTGATAGTAGGCTTATTCAATTCCTTGTAATCAATGCACATCCTCCATAACCAATCTTTCTTCTTGACCATGAATATGGGTGATGAAAAAGGACTATTGCTAGGTCTCACAACCCCAGAATCCAACATCTCCCAAATTTGTTTTTCAATTTCATTTTTCTGGATGGCAGGGTATGATATGGTCTTACATTTATTGGGGCTATACCCTCCTTTAGAATAATTTTGTGATCATGGATTCTATGTGGTGGCAAAGTTCTAGGAATCTCAAATAATGGAGAAAATAAGTGAATAACTTTCTGATCTTACAACCATTAGCCACTACCACGGAGAATGGAACTATTTTCTTCAATTTACACCCTGATCTTTTGGCTGTATTGAGGTCCAAAAAATGGTGCATACTTCCTGTATCTATAAGAATGTTCCCCATGTCCCCTTCCATAAAATCCTTCCCTCTCATAGTTCTATAATCCACAATTCCAAACATTGCATAAACTGAAAATGGTGGATTATTCCCAGTATCCTCCTCGCATTCCTCTTCTATCAATGCAACTTCCTCTTCTATTTCTAGCATCTCATCATCACACTGAGTTTCCCCAAGATCCATAATATACAGTTGTCTTCTCTTTTGGCAT